CCATATGAATGCAGAACCTGCAGATAAGGAGGGCTGACTATACATTAAAAGAACAGGATAGGGTGTTTGGGGGCAAAAACAACAGATACATCCACTGTCTCATACTGGTTACTCAGGACATTCAAACCTATTGCTTTCCATACACAGAATTTTAAAAACACTTTCCACTAACATAATTTAGCTCTCTCTTCCTTCCAAAAAGGGAGATAATTCAAAGTAATGCCTGGTTAATGCATTTAGCTTCAAGTCCAGGAGTTCTGGATAATGTCAGTTCCTCTTCACATCTTTGTTATTTTCTGTAAATTATAGATTTTTAGCAAATCTACCCGCTAATAATATACTTTATATATGCAGTAGTAGAAGGGGAAATGAAAGAGAAAGGAATTTTTAAAAGTTATATGACATAGCAAGCAAGATGTATACAGATAGCCTCCAGAAACCTCATTCATGCATTTTGACCAAGCAGGCATAATTTGCACATGATGATAGAGTGCTGCTGGGTACACCCAGTTTTGTGGCTTGGAGATCAGTCCAGTCACTGAGGGCTGCTATAAGCTTTTTCCATAATCCAGATGTTCCACATTTGCTTTCAAGAGCAGAGGGTGTCATAGCTGACCAGAGCTGGGTCGCAGCTGAGTGGCAGAGCACTTCAGTATGGACAGGTAAGGTGTACAGTGATTTTTGCTCTGGTTCCTACCCATATCTTCTCTTTTTCCGGCAAATGGATAAGCCAATGAGTGGTCTGAAACCCATGTAGTACATGTTACCTTCAGAATCCCAGAGGCATCAGCCAAGCATTTTGCCTCTTAGCGGGTGTAAGGTAGGTACAGCAGTTACCATTCACCTTATTTTTGTTTGCTTATTATTTTGAGTCAGTAACTAGTACATATGGCATTAAATTGAAAAAGTGCAAAAAAGTGTACAGTAAAATTACAGAAAAGGAGATTTCCTTTCTTGCACTTACCATCCAACTACCTCAGTCTCCACAATGGAGGCAACCTCTGGTACTAGATTCTTGTGTATCCTCATTTTAAAGGACACATTCTCATCTGACACAGATCATTGGATTATAAGAAACTTCTGAAGTGGCAGACCCTGTATGTTCATGGAATTTGTATCCCACCATATGGAATACAGACAAAGCACCTGCATCTTTGTACTTTCCAGGTTCTGTCAGCTTGGTATCTTCACTGTGGTAGACCAGTGTAATGTGCTGTATCTGGAGTTGATAGCTCTGAGGCAGGCAACTGCTTTCTCATATCCTCAGTTTATCCCCATGGAGAAATGGAGATACCAGCTTCATAACTGAATTCTAGGTGCCAAGGGTATTAATTTGCCCCAGTCAGGACTCACGTCTAAAAGTGCACCTTGAGTTGGAATAACCACTTGATTATGTTTATGACAACCTAATATCACTGACTAAGATCCATTGACCCCTCATCTGGGAAGTGGGGTTTTCTGCAAATCACCAGATGTTTGTCTGTTTTGATAGTCCAGTGGTTTTACTTAGCCATTCCTACTAGAATATCTTAATGATTCAGGGCCCTTGTGTGAAGGTGAGATGCCTCATTGATCTGTATTACCTTCTTCCATGGACTTCTGGTTTTCAATTCCATAATACGCACAAGAGTTTCACTGCCATTTTACCTGGCTTGGCCTAGTAGCAGTTCTAAATTCCTCTCCTTTCTGCAAAGGTGTGTTGTCTGCAGCCCACTATCTGTTATCAGTTTGTATCAGATATTGTATAACATCAGAGATATCAGTTTGTGTTCTTGTGTTAAAAATCACAGAAACCAACAGTGGTTAATTTAAGCAAAGCTATTATTATTGGAAGGCTCCTGGGTAACTGGTAGAATCAAAGAGAAGGCTGAAAACTCATAGTTTGTTAAGGACATGCATAGAGATCTAGATCAAGAGATTCTTTGGGATGACTTAATTCTATCCTTATCACAATCTACTGAAGATTCAGATTCCCAGCAGAGTCTACTTTGTTAAATTTGAATCATCCTCTCCTTGGCTTGATGGCATAGGTACCATAAAATGATTAAAGGATCTGCCAATACTTGGGGAATGTAAGAGAGAGACTTTCCTAAAGGAAGAGTAAGATGTTACAACTGAAAATGGAGGAGGAACAGTAAACAGACAAAACCGACAGATGTCCTTTCCAGAATGTTCAAATTAGGTCAGCATTTCTCAATTGGGGCGTCACTGGCCTTTGGGGGAAGACCATTTTCCTTTTTGAGCCGCTGTTCCAGTGCATTGCAGTGTGTTCAGTGTCCTTGACTCGGATACGAAATGTCAGGAGCACCCTTACTGTTACCATCACGGCAGAGCACCACCCATTTCACAATCACTGCCGTCATGCTGCTCCCACTGCCGCCCCTCCCCAGGTAGGCGGTGACACAGAGCATCCAGACCACTGCGCTGCATGATCTCTGAAGCTTTTTCCAATGAAATCAGATCCATTCCCATTGCTAACTGAAGGTTGTTTGTAATTTTGTTAAATATTTTCTTGTCTCTTCTATCAAAAAGTCTTTCAGTTTGATGTCCTCAAATATCTAAACTGACTCACATCTACAGCCATGTGAAACATGTCAGAAATTCATCGATTTGTTTCTTCAGTTTATTTCTTTGTTTAAGGGCATAAACTTTAGAGCTGAACTCCTTAAATTCAAATTCTACAACCATAGCTTTGCTCTTTACTAACAGTTACTTCCTTTGGCTTTTACATACTCTTTCTTTGGGCAATTATATAATCTCCCTGCGTCTCTGTAAAATGAAGATAGTAGTACCCATTTCACAGGGTTGTTGTGAGGATTAAGTTAGCTAGTTTGCAAAAAGTATTTAATGTATTACCAAAAGCATAGTAATTATATATTTAAACTATTATTACTGTAGTTATAAAATGGGATATTAATAATTTAGTTTTACATAAATAATTTTAAAATACTTTCAAATTTTCTTTTTTGGGGATATACCTTTTGAAAATTGCTCTATCTGGAAAAAGCATTTTGTTATAACACTTAGCTTAGAACTATACTTCGAAAAATATTCCCTCATTCAACACTTATTATTGGCCATGCAAGGGCTAAATTCAAGGACGACAGAGGATGTATTTACCAGTAGACGAGACAGTAAGTGAGTGAACAAATAAACGCCCAGAGTAATTAACTGATTTGCTGAGAGCTGTGGAGGAATCAGCAGAAAGACCTGGAAGCAGGGTTTCGTATGTTGGTAAATAGATGCCAGGCCTTGACTGGACTCTGGTCAGCTGGGCAGAGGCAACATAGGAGGTGGGCATGTTTGCTGGAGCTCTGCTTATCAAGGTCTTATTAGAGACTCTGGTAAGGAGCTGGGATAATTTCCGCAAGGAGTTGAGATTTCTTTCCAAGGAAAGTATTGAAGAGATTTTAAGCAGGAGTGGGTCTGATTTACATTTAGGAAAGTTGTTTTTGTCGACAGTGTAGAAAATGAATTGGAGAGGAACAGGTGGTACCAGATAAAAGACTCTAGGGAAGAAATAGACAGGAATGGGGTGGGATGGCAGCAGTAGAAATGGAAAGAAATGAATGAGGTCAAATGAAAGCACGAATATTTATTTTAGGAGTAGAATGAACAGGTATTGGTGATGGCTTGGATGAAGATAATAGGAGAGAATAATCAGATTTCTGGATTTTTGACTATTAGGTCCCATTTGATAGTATGCATATATTCTATTATTAAACTTTAAAAAAAAACTTTATGGTGCTTTTCAAACTTAAATTTTTAGTATGTTTTAAAATTTTCATCTTCCTGGTCTAGATTTTTTTCTTTTGCACCAAATTGTACACCCTTCTTATTTTTTTCTTACTTTCTTGTTTAGTAATGAAAACCTTCTTTGTTGATGTTTTTGGCATTTGATTGGGAGTATTTTATCTGTTAATTATTGCTTTTGAAGATTTACACTCACTCACCCCTTGCAGAGTAGTCTTTTGAAATTAGATAGCTGACTATCATCCCTGCCCCAGGAAAGTAGGCGTCTGTAAAAGCCTGCACCTGCTGAAGGCAGACTTCCATTCTCTCCCCCATATGCTTCCCAGGGGTGTGGATGGCGAGGACTTGGGGTGGTGGGGAGGCACCTGGAGTTTATTGACCCGACTCTGCCTGAGGCACATGCTGTCTGTGTATGTAACTCTGCCATTCTTTTTAACATGTTCTTCAGATGTGTAGTCAGGTTTATGAGTTTTTATTTTCTGTCACTTAGGACATATGTCAGTTCAGTTCAGTCACTCAGTCGTATCTGACTCTTTGCGACTCCATGAATTGCAGGATGCCAGGCCTCCCTGTCCATACCTTCCCAATAATTAGAGTTTATCTTACTTTACCAAAATATGATTTCTTCTTGTGAATGGAGATCAAGCATATACAGCAGTCTTTAAATAAATTAAGCAGATTATTCAAATCCGTGCATGTGGAATGAATTATTTTACTTTTTTCGAAGAATTGAGAAGCCAGGGAGAAAGTTCATTAGACAATAATGCCCAGAGATTTTTTTTTTACACCTAAATGAGAAGCCAGAAATGCATATAAAACATAAGAACTTCAAAAACATTTCTTAGACAGACTATTATGAAACTTCCGTGGATGTTTTTGATTTCCCGTTACATTAAAATACTCAGATGTACTTCATATTCAGATCATTTAAAAATAGCTCAATCTTAAAAAGAAGATATAAAGTATTATCAGCTGTGCTTTTTGTACATAATTAGCGATGTGCCTATGGAGGTATATTGACTTTTAGTGTAGTGATATTACTCATGGTAAAAAGTTCAGATGGTAAAAATTGGAGATACAGCTGGGTGACACATTTTAAAATAACTCAAAGATGACTTCACGGAAGGCATGCTATTTTGGTCCCTTGTCATCCTCCTTGTAATCCACTGTAAAAACTCATCCGTGATTGTGAAGACCCTGATAGAAGATTCTTTCTTAAATGTTTTATCTCCCCCTCTTTCATACAGAGTTGATGTATGTTCGCTGTCTTCTTCAGTGTGTAGCCAACCACTGTGAAGGCACATTATTTCGTCCCTTCTACTGAGATGGCTGAAGACTCAGCAGGCCTTCCTTCTGATTATCAGTTTTGGATGCAGAAGCTTTCTGTCTGGACTCAGGCCTCCACTTTGGAAACCCAGCGAGACATCTGCCTTCACCTGCCACAGTTCCAGGAGTTCCTGAGGCAGATGTATGAAACCTTGAAAGAGATGGTGAGTAGTGGACCAAAGTAAAGTAATAATGTTATTTTGTGACATCAGGAACTCTTCACCAGATTTCACTAAGCCTGAATGCAGTCAGGGACTTGTGGTCTTGACCTAACATATTGAAGGATTAGACAGACAAATTACCTGTAAGTAATGGAGACAGGAAGTGGTTTGCTAGTGTCTGATTTATTATGACTTCAGTCTTTTCTTTCTTGATGAGTTATATTGTCACATGAGATTTCCTGACCAATCAAGTTGTTTTTAAATAAACAAGACTTTGACATTTGTTGTCAGGTCATAATTGGGGTTCTTTTAAAGGTCTTTGCATCTCTTAAATATTGAAGAGTTTGATGAAATGCTTACTCTTTTCTCAACTCTATTCTAAAATGGGCTCAACTAAGAGATGATAAAATTTAAGATCTCTTCTTCCAGATATTTTAAGTGGACTTTTCTTGTGACTATTAAGATTATGAGTGTCTTCACTATTGTTATGTAAGTTATTGTGTTCAAAATTTGATGTTTTTGTTTTGACATAAAATTTTGTGGTTTTATTGCAATAGGTATTTTTGTGAATTAGTGCATTTTCATATTATGAAAACATTATACTTATTTTCTAATTTCAAAATGAGAAGCAAAATTATCATTTAATGTAGGTATTCTTGTGTTAAAATTTTCTTTCCTTAATCAAAGGAACAAGTAGGAAATTTGAAAAATAATTCATAGTGATGATGTGAGTTCTCATGTCTCTAGAAAGTAGAAGAAAAGTTACAGTGTATATGAACAACTAATGCTAACTTTTTTAAGAAGACTTTTGTAACTTGACCTTAAAGTGATTCTGGAAAGTCCAAGGCTGACACTGATGCTAAACATATGTGAGGAATTTATTGTTTCAGCAGTAGGAAATGCTTATCATTTCAGTTTATGTGTACATTATCCCAATTTGGTCTTATTTCATTTTTGAACTTTCTTGAAAAGTAAAGAAGTGGGAAAAGGGCCATGTGTATGTTTGAACCTTAGGCTGTTTTCTATTTGGTTGATATTTTTTTGTGTGTTAGGTTTTAGGTTGTTGTAGACAAGTATAATGTCATTTAGCATATAGTAATCACAATAGTAATAAACAGAGATATATATCTGTATGTTTTGGCTGCTCTTATTTCTTTTTCTTTTTTCTCTTATTTCTTATTACAAGTTCCAGAGTTCTTGTCCTTCTAAACCTTACTTGAGATAGTGCTACTGGAGCTGACTCAGGAAGTTCTCTTATTATTTTAGAATTTAAAAAAATCAGGATGAAGATATGGTGTTATATAGATATTAATCACCCATAATTTTTTCACTATTAAGCAGTCTTTGTTATTTTTGAATTAAGTGTTCTTTCTTGACTTAAATATGAGTAAAATAAAGTTAATTCTGCAACAAAATTNAACCCAGGAATCGAATTGGCATCTCCTGCATTGCAGGTGGATTCTTTACCAACTTAGCTCTCAGGGAAGCCCAAAATAAAGTTAATTCTGCAACAAAATTGATTTTCCTAAACTTGCTGTAATTCCTAGTTTTAGTGAGCTGGTTTAAGGATAAAGTATGGTAATTGCTTGTTAAACTTTATTAAAATTATTTACTTAAAGATCTTCTCTAATCTGTTTTTCACCTATTTTTGTAAAATACACACGAAATAAGAAGCATTCAAGCTCTCTCAGCCTGTAATGATACTTCAGTATTTTCTGAGTTGTGTAGTGTCCTACTGACCAAATATAATTTTCTTTTACAGGATTCAAATACAATCATTGAAAGATTCCCCACAATTTGCCAGCTGTTGGCAAAATCTTGCTGGAGTCCTTTTATCTTAGCTTATGGTAAGAATCCAAAGCATGTCCTCTCAAAATCCAATCTTTTAATGATAATTTTAATCTTTGCATTGTTTAACAGCATTCAGAGCTTTAAATGATAAGCCTTTCTCTTACTTTTCATGAAACAACTTATCAAATGTATTCCTTGTTCTTTACAAAGATGGCATCCTTTATTGTTGTCCATATGTGTTTGTGTACATGTGTATGGATACACACACACACAGATGTGTAGGAGAATAGAAAGTCTTGAATTAGAGGGTAGATGCTCCCAGATGATTGTTGCAGCCTCATTTTTTAATTCAGTATAGAATGATTATTGTGAAAAAATTTCTTTGTTTCACAATTTCATATTAACTCATGTGCTGTTTTCATGCATAAAATTCTTTAGTGTCTGAATCCTGCCTTGACTCTGCCATTATTTAGGGAACACATTTTGGTTTTATCCAAGGTTAGGAGGAATTTGGAGACACTTTGAGGAAGTTGTCCCTTCACTGACCTCCTACCTACCTGTCTAGCCACATTTCCTGTTTAATATCAATATCATGTGCATTGTAGCTAGGTTAAATTAGTAACAGTGTTTGATGTCTGTGTTTGATGTTTGTGACATGCAGTTCTTTTTGCCTGGAACTTTGTTCTCATCTCAAATCCTCAAACCTTCTTTGAAATAGCTTTGCTAGGACTCAGTTAGGAACCTTCCTTAGTGTGTCCATAGTTGCCAGCATCTCCCTTAATTATAACCCTTACTATACTGCTTTATAATTATTGGCTTGCCTGTCTAATGTCCTGGAAGACTGAATGTCGCAGGAAATGTGGTTTTCGTTCTCTTGGTTGTCGCAGAGCTTTGCATAGGGTGGAGTAGGCATATCTGAAAGTGTACGTAGAAGTTTAATGTCTTGATTTGACTATGTTGTTAGCTAATAGAATCTTTACTTTTCATGCTTTTTA